CATGTTCCTTAAATCCTGGCTTCTCTCACCATGTTCAGACTCAGCGGCACCAGGCCTTCATCTCTTGCCTCTTTCCTTTGCTGGGGAATACTCCCATGGTCATAGGGGCTTTTTAGATAACCCTGGGACCTTCAACTGAATCCTTAATTGGATGATTTCTACGGAGCCTCCTTTGCTGTTTAAGATAACACTTCCAATGGCCTGGGATTAGGAAGGGGCATGTCAGAGGCTTTTAATCTGCCTCCTATGACTGGAGAACCACAAACTCTCCCCTGTGGGAATGATCACACTGGGCTGGACTAAGGCTTTGTTAGATTTCTATGCAGAAGTCCTTGGCATGAGTGGGAGCTACAGGAAGCAGGCTGTCACACAGAGCTTGAAAGCATACTTTGTTTTTTGTCCTTGGTTTGGTTACTTGTTTTTAAGAAAGAGTCAAGATCTGCTTGGCTGCTTCCAGTCCTTGTTCCCCACGGAGGAGCAATCAAACATCAGGACTCAACTAAGAAGACTTTTCTCTGTGCAAAACTGTTAACTGAACTACGGTCCCAACGCCTCAATCACTGCTGGAAAGATGAATCCCCTCCCGGTGCTCAGGGACTTCAGCCAACCACAGTGACGGCTGTGCAAGGGAGGGCCAGGGTGCACAGTGCTCTAAGAGATCCAAGAGGTTCCCCGAGGCTCATCGTGGGGTAGCCTGTGTTTGTCCTAAATCCCTTTGGTAGGTTGCAAGTCAACATTTTAGCGGAGAATACCTTTGTCAAAGAAGGAGCAATGGCCAAATTTCATCCACACCATCTCTTCTACTCCTGACTTACAAATCAACTGAGAACCCAAGTCAAGGACGAATCTAAGCTTGGAGCTTAAAGGGGACCGAAAAAAAAGATCCTGACGTCCTTTCTCTTTTCACATCACACAGAAAGTAAATTGATGCAGCTTGGATATTTCTTTCTTCCAGGGGTCTGGCCGCTTCAGCCAGGTATTTCTGGGGGAGAGGGAGGGGGCTTTGGTGGCAGTGGGGCATCTGGACACAGGAGAGACATAGAAAAGGTTTTAGACCTCCCATATACCTGTTATCTCTGAGTCACTTTATTGGCCCTGTCTCGAGGGTGGAGGGAGGGGACAGAGCAGACACAAGCTTGCCATCTGGGTGAGCAGTGACGGGGACTCCTCCCTGCCCAAGAGAGCTTCTGTGCGAATGGCATTTATATTTGCCTTACCATCTTGCACCCTGGGAAGAATGGAGAAACTGAGTCAGTGGAGCGCTGTGGGCCTTGGCTCCTGCTGGGTAAGGAGCAGCCTGTATCTTCTGTCAGCAATGGCCCCACCCTTAAAACCCTTCCTTTCTCTCCTGACCTTCCTTCTTCTTTACTTCCTCTCCATTCATTTCATCTTCCTTCCTTCCTTCCTTCCTTCCTTCCTTCCTTCCTTTTTTGTTTTTTTCATAACAGGGTTTCTCTGTGTTGCTTTGGAGGCTGTCCTGAAACTAGCTCTTATAGACCAGGTTGGCCTCGAACTCAGAGATCCGCCTGCCTCTGCCTCCCGAGTGCTGGGATTAAAGATGTGTGCCACCACTACCTGGCCCATTTTTCTTTTTATATTCTGATTTTCTCTTCATCAAAAGCCAAGTCCTCCCCTCCCCCCAAGTAATATTCAGCTCTCAGGGAGCTCATTGCATACTTGAAGGACTAGAGAGCCCCTAGATCAGTATGGCTAGGAGTGTTCCCTTGACAGACAGGCATCAGCTAGTCTGGTCCATGCCCAGAGAAAAGAGTGTGCATTTGGCAGCTAGGAGACTGGTGATCCCGTGACAGCTCTCCTGTCACCAAAGGAACTTACTCCACTCTGAACCTCACGTCCTTATCAGCCGTATGGAGAACTAATAAAGGGACAACTGGGATCACAGTGGAGGGTGTGCTTAATGGTCACTAAAGGTACATTGGCTGCACAGACCCTGAAATACAGAGCTCTCCCAAGGGCTGGATTCAGAAACACCAGGGCCAGTGCTGACTAATAAAACCCAGGGATCCCTGGCACCGTGGTCAAGCAGCTACAGGGCGGAGGGCTGGGCTGAGGGTCACTGGGCGGAGGCTGCACATTGTTTTCTCCCCTCAGGTGTCACCCTCTCACTCCAGACCTGCCACTGGACTCAATTAATGTTTGTTTCTTTATGATGCTGATGGATCATCCTGTAACATTCCAGGGCCTAATAAGGGGGTGCAGGCTGCTGGGTAGTGAGTCCTGGAATCTCCCTGCCTGCGGCACACCCTGGAAGGAATGGTGAGCTTTAAAGGCCGGGAAGCCCAGAGAAACTTCCCTCAGAACAGACAGAGTCAGTTCCAGCATCAGCAGAGGTTCAGATCCCCATCTACTGAGGTTCTAGGAAGGTAAATCAAGCACACCCCACAAAGAGAGGTTGGAGGCAGATGGAAGACATCCTGCAGGAGGGACCCAGGGCAAAGAGGATCTGAGTCTTCTCAGAAGACAGGGAACTTTCCAGAACTACAGAGTTAGAAGAGAGGCAGATAGACTTCATATAAGTATGGTCTCCCTTTCCCAGGACCACATGTGGATTCCAAGGACTGCATCCAGATGGTAGTAAAGGAACTGAGATGGCGAAAGGCTCAGTGTCACAGGCAGTGGAGAGGGCCATCAATGGACTTCATATCCCAGCAGGTTTATGAAACAGAACAGTTGGAGGGGGAGTGGTAGGTGGGAAAGAGGCCACAGTCAGTGTGGGTGGAGAGATGCCACCTTCCTAAGGAAACTTTGTGGAGAGCTGAACACAGGTATGAGACGTGAGTAAGAAATCCAGGGAGTTATTTGAAAGCTAGCGTAGAACAGCAGCTTCTGCTTCCAGCCAAAGGGAATAGGGAAAAGAAGCAAGCTATTTAAAGAGAGGACAAAACTTGGACAGAACTCTCCATAAACAACAGCAAAACAAAGTCCCAACCCCTGGACATACGTGACAGGGAAGCTCCATCCTTGAGCTCTCAACACGAGGGTCACCTGGACACGGCAACATAATGACATCACCAGTTGACATGCCAACGTGAACGGGGACATTCACAAGATCCTGCCCCCAGATGGAAAGATGCAGGTGGCTGATGGCTGGTGAGAGACTGGGGGGCGGGGATTGTCTATTTCCTTTAAGATAGGTTGTCCAATCCAAGGTGGTCAGATCCGGACATGTACATACAAATACACACACACACACGCACACACACACTTAAAGAAGATGTCATGAATTTAGAAGGGATCCAGGGAGGCACAAGAGCAGGTGGAGTAGGGAGGAGTGGTGTGGATGAAGTTCTTAGAAAGAAAAATTAGCAAACAAAACCAGCTTGCTGCTCCGGTGGTCGGGAATAAACCTTGCCCTCAACGATCCCTTCACATGTGCACAGAGCTCCCAAAGTCAGTTATTCATCTTACTTCAGTTTTAAAATATGGAGTAAAATAGCCAAGGGTTCAAGAGGAATAAAAAAACAATAAAAGACATCTCAGAGGGACCATATTTGTCCATCAAGACCTTATATAAATTAAAAGGATCTTTAAAAAACTCAAAACGGATGAGCTTTCAGAATCTGAGGAAACTTCAAAATTCAGGCATAAAAATTTATAAAGTCATCTACCATTTGACCATACCAAAGGACAAAAACATAAAACATCCTGGCAGACGTGACAAAAATCTGCTAAAATCCATTTGTGATTTTTAAAAGTACTCAGCATACCAGAGCTTGAAAGGACCTGTTTACGGAGGAGACCATCAGTCAGGAAATTAAGATGCTGTTTGGGGCCACTTACTGTCACGATGATAGCCACTGGTTAGCCACTGCAGACAAGGCTTTTAAATGTAAAAATAACTAAACGTTGGGTATAAGGTTTTAATAAGAAGCAGCAGTTGTTGGGGTTATTGCCGGCCATGAGATAGTCATGTGTAAGGGCTGGGGTCATAGGAATGTGATGGAAACCTTGCCTAGCATGTGCAATGCTCTGAGATCTGACAGGAAACTCAAAGAAAAAATAAATGACAATACCACATACAAACAACAAAAACAGGATAAAACTAATAAAAGCCATAATTGAAAGAAGATATTTATAACACATTCGTCTATAATGTGAAAGATTAGTGTCCACATGTAGAAAAATTCATAGAAATCAATAAGAAAATGACAAAATGAGCCAGTGGAAATTGATCAGTGTGTGCAGATCATTTCCAGAAAAAGAAACCTCAATATTTAAAAAACATTTTAGGATAACTGAATTCCATTACTTGCCAGGAAACCAAGATCAAACAGCAATAAGAAACTATTTTAGTGTCATGGAAGTGACTCGGTGGTAAAGGGGTTTGCCCAGTGATTCCCTGGAACCCACATAAAGGCAGAAGGAGACTCCACAAACTGTCCTCAGACCTCCACATGCACACAGTGGCATGCACATGAGAACACACACACACACACACACACACATACACACACACACGAGCACACACAGAGATAATATACTCCTAAAGAAGCTATTTTATACCTACCAGATTCACCAAAATATAAAAAAAAATCAGACATTAACATGAACTGCAGTGTATGACCACTATGAAAGAAAGGGAGAGAGACAGAGAGAGAGAGACAGAGAGAGACAGAGAGAGAGAGAGAGAGAAGAGGTAGCCAAAAGCACATACCTTTAATCCCAATGCTGGGGAGGCAAGTGGATCCTAGGAGTTCAAGGCTAGCCTGATCTACACAGTTAGTTCCAGGACAACCAGAACTATGCAGAGAGACCCTGTCTCAAAACAAAACCCAAACCCAAAATAAACAAAAGGGAAGTGGCAAATCATAGTATATTCACTCAATAGTATATTATACAAACATCAAGTGTCCTAGCGCTAAATCATCATATTGATAAATCTCAAAAGTATCCTAGTTCAGGGAAAGCTGAAGAGCATTGTACGTAGGCTAGCATCGTTAAGGTAAAAACTGAAAATGCGCCAAGTGTGAAAACACACAGAAGGATGAGAACACGTTTATTGAGCAGCTTTATTGCTTGATAAAGAGAAAAGTTGAGGAAGAGATTACACGGGGCTTCCAATATAACCTGCTGTTTTTGACAGTGTTTAAAAATTGAATCAAAAACTAGGCAGTGCTGATGCATACGTTTAATCCCAGCCCTCGGGAGGCAGAGGCAGGAGGATCTCTGTGAGTTCGAGGCCAGTCAAAGAGAGAGAAGTCTGAATGTGTCATGAAGCTGGCTGAAGTGTCTGAAGCTGGCCTCCACACTTCAGTTCTGAATGTCCTGGAGTTTGGGACAACCTCATGGCGGGTAGGACCCCAGGGCAGAACCCCGTAGAAGTGGATGGGCATTTTGTTTCACCCATGGCTTTGAATTTCTACTTACCAGAGAGCTTGGTATAGAATAGTAAATCAATTTGCCCAATGAACAACACATGAAGAGGCAGGGAGAATTGTTAGAACATGTATAGACTAGCCCATCAAACAGCTGCCACTGGGCCCCAGAGACCAACCCACTGTCTTTACCTAGCAGGGATTACCTCATAGTAGGGACAGCTGTTACCCTCATCCTACAGGTGAACAAAACCGGCTTCATGGGAGAACGTCTGCCTCAGAGAATAGTCGTTAGAATTGAGTCTGCATTTCACCAAAAAAAAAAAAAATTCTGGATTTTTAAGTTATAAGTGGCTCCAGATACCCTAAAATAACACACAGGACCAACTGAGGGTGTTGGTTCCCAGCACCCGAGAAGCAGCATGTACAGGAAGCACACAGTGAGGAAAAGGGAGGGCGTCACCAAGGAGGCGATAGTTGAAGCTGGTGTTAAAGAAGTACATGTAGACAGGGGTCAGGATCCAGCTCTGTCTCCACCACGTGCCCCGATGGCGATGGGAGGATCCACGGCTGTGGCCTTTGAGCACAGAACCCAAGCGCACACATTTCCAGACAGATATAGCTGGTTTGGACATAACCTTCTGTTTGAGAAAGTTTACTCTTTTATATACAGAGTGGGTAAACATCTTCTTTAAAAATCACGATCTCAAGTTCAGAAGCAGCCCGGGCTGCACAGTGACAAAGTGTCTCAGAAATAAGAGGGTGTGCGATGAGAACGTAACTGTATACTCTTTAGTAGTGACTATCCTTCCCGGAGCAGTTTCTGTATGCAGGGCACAGGGTTAAGTCTTTGTGTGTTTTATTACCTTTAAGTCTCACACCAACCCTGTGAGGCTGGCACTGTTTTGATCCCTTTCAGGGATGAGGAAACCCAGGCTTACAGGATGTGTGTACAAAGTCCTCAGGGGTTAGTACATGGGGACACCGAGACAGAAGCCACAGTTGTCAGTTCCCAGTGCATGCGTTTAACCACTGCCTCTCCCAAGCACAGACAGCCAATTAAGGCAACAAGGGTTTAATTGCTCTCCATTGGAAGGCTAAATGAGAATGTGCTACAAGCACAGTCCGTGGAGACCAAGCTATCATTATGTTCATGAGCACCTATCACACGGGCACAGCTCCACAAATGCTTGTGAAATGAGGTGGCATTTACCTCTAGGAAATGGGAACCAAATGACACATTTCCCTGGGGCAAAGCAATGGAAACTCCCAGGAGGCCAATGGGACACACGGAACAGCTCCCCAAGCTTCCTGGCACAGGGCTTCTCCAGATGAGTTCCGGAACCCCTCAGCCAGGCTGTGGCTCCTGTGGAGCCCTGTTTCTGAGCAAGCCTCGTCTGTGATGGACTGAGCCAGGACACACGGGAGCTCCCAACTCTATATCAGTGGCAAAAGCCATTCCAGTGGGTGCCAGGAAGTGGCCCTTGTCCCTGGGGGCAGGGATGGGAGCTCCTGTGTGTTCTAGCTCAGCCCGAAGAGGCTTACCCTAAAACTCGCCACTGGATCAGAGTCCAGCGCCTTCCCAAACAGTCATCACAACGAACCCAAAATGAGAACAAAAAAAGAACGGACATGAATCTTCTTTCAAGTAGAAAGAGGCAAGAAGACTCCAGCTTTCTCCTGGGAAGAGTAATTAATTCTGGGATCTAGGGTTCATTTTATACGGGTGTTCCTTCAGCAAATGTTACCCAACCCTTGCTGGGTGCAGGAGAGGTCTTGCCCACCTAGGAGTGTCCTCAAACTCAGAAACTAAGAAAGCACCGCAGGGTGGGATGAGATGAGTAAAACACAAGCCAAGTTTCCTACCCCCCCCACCCCCCCCACATACCTTGATGCTAACGACAGAGAAGGAAACTGAGGACAGGTTAGCAAGCAGTAGCGATTTACAAAAGACACTTCTTAGGGGAGAGGAACAGAAGGAACAAACACTGAGAGCCGAGAAAGAGGAAGGAAAAAAGAGCAGGGGAGAGAAAAAATGGCATGGGAAAAGGCGGAAGGGCGCAGCATCCTGACTGGATTCTCCCTGGGGCCCCGTCCACACTGCTCTGGTCACGTTTTAATTAGCTACATGATTTTTCCATTGCCTTAAACAAGAGCTTCTCTCTGATTAATGTTCGAAACAGCTGGCCGATTTTAATCATGACAAACACGATGATCCCGGCTATGATGGCCTGAGCTACTAAAAGCAGAAAATAAAGACCCCAGTAGAGGCTGTGATTGGAACCTTCACTCTTGGCCACCAGTTGGGCCCACGCGCGGGACTGCGAGCTGTGAGGCAGCTGGGATGGGGCGGGGACTTCCAGGGTGTTCTCGGCTAGAGGGTTGAGGGGCAGGCGTCGAGGGTGCGGGCACCATGGGTCACCCTGCAGCAGATCCCAGAACAACAGGCCCGCCCGTGACTCCGGGCCATGGCACTGCGGGGACTCGTCTCGGCTCAGGAGGTCTTGATGATGCTGCAGCCACTGGAGGAAAGGCCACAGACCACAGTCGCAGAGCCAGGGATTGTGACCCAGCAGCACTTGAGTCAGCTGGGGCAAGGCCGCGAACACATCTCCAGGCAGCGTCTCCAGCTGGTTGTGCTCCAGCTGCACGGTCTCGAGGCTGCTGAGGTTGAGGAAGAGCGCGCGGGGCAGGGCCCGCAGCCGGTTGTGGCGCAGCGACACCTGGCGCAGGCGGCCGAGGTCGCGCAGCGCGTCGTCCGGGAGCTCGGTCAGGGCGTTGGAGTGCAGGGCGAGCACGCGCAGCTCAGTCAGACCCTGGAACGCGCCGCGCGGGAGCGCGCTCAGGCGCGGGTTCCGCGTCACCCCCAGGGTCTGCAGGCCGCTCAGGTTGCGGAAGAAGGCGGCGGGCAGCGTGCGCAGCTGGGTGCGGTTCAGCCACAGCTCCCGCAGACCGGCCATCTCGCCGAACAGCACCTCCGGCAGCTCCTCCAGAGGGTTCTCGAACAGGGTCAGCCAAGTCACGCGGCTCGTACGAAGGAAGAGCGCGTATGGCAGAGAAACCAGGCGGTTTCTGGACAGAGTCAAAGAATTCAGGTTTCCGAGGCCGTCGAAGGCACCGGGTGCGACAGAATAGAGGTGATTCCGGTCCAGTCTCAGCACAGTCAGGGCGCCCAGGTTATCCAGAAGCCCCGAATCTACAGACGCGAGCTGATTTGAGTAGAGCAGCAGTGTCTCAAGTTTAACCTGTGCCTCAAGCAATCCCTTGGGTAGGTGGGTCAGGTTGTTTCCTGATAAATCCAACACCTTCAGTTTCCGCAGGCTCGTGAAAAGGTTAGCAGGAAGAAAAGAGAGCTGATTCTGGTTCAAAGAGAGCTCCTGCAGGCTAAGCAGGTTCATAAACAGGTTTTGGTCAATGTCCCTTAGTGAATTGTGGTCTAAGAACAACTGTTCCAAGAGCACCGTCTTATCGAGGAGCGCGCTTGGAAGATGAGAGATTCTGTTGCGTGTCAACCTGAGGGTTTTTAGTTTTATCAGGTCATTGAAGGTGCCGGGGTCGATGGCAGAAACGTGGCTATTTGAGAGCATCAGTCGCTGCAGGACTGTCATGTCACTGAAGCTGTGGTTCTGCAAAACGCCCTGATCCATTCGGAAGAGTACTATGTGTGTGAGGTTCCTGGGCAGACCCAGCGCGGCGATGCTAGCCACGCTGCCGCCCGAGCACTGAACCGCATCGCGGACCTCACACTTGCAGGATTTAGGGCAGGGGAAGGACTGGGCGCGCAGGAGTGCAAGCACCATGCACAACAGGGCGCTCCTTAGCATGTCTGAAAGGCAATGACACAAGGCTCAGATGAGATCTTGGAGTCCGGCATCTGCTGCAAGCAAAGCTCTTTGGCCAGCATTCTCACTGCCTTGGAATGTAGCCCAGATACAACCAAGTCTCCCTTCATTCTTGTAATTACAAGGGCTGATTAAAAAATAAACTTTCTATTCAGTTTATGTGGGTGCTGGAGATTCTACCTCATGCTTGCTGGGTACATATTCTTATCTACTGAGCCATCTCCCCAGTTCTCAGTTTTGAGCACTGAAATTTGGGCATCTTCAAACTACAGAAAGAATACCTTAAAAATCTTTAGAGAATGAATTATAATTCTCTCGGTCATGTCCAGTCATCACAAAGTAGTATCTGCTCGGAAAACTGGCTGTGCTACTGAGTCTACTGACTTAAGCAGGGCTGGCTCTACCCAACAACCAGGAAGGGAACAGGAAGACCCACTCCATTCACTTTCTTACAACCAAAATTTTAAAGTACCAACACCCAACAACACAGTACATCTTCCTTTAACCTCCAAGCACAATGCAGCAGGTGATAATGCCTGAGGCTTTATGTTATGCTTCTCTGTGCTTTGCTCTCTTAGCAGAAGGCATGAGGAGGGTGGTATGCCGAGCGCTTCAACACATGAAGTAATTTAAGTCACATAGATAGAATTTGAAGGTAGTCTTTCTGACTCACACATTATTTGAATAATAAGCTGTTTGCTTCTAAGCCAAGTGACTTAATGAAAACTACTCTGGGCACCGAATTAACTGGAACACAGCAGTACTATTTACCCAGTGTTTCCCAAGGAAAAATATGTGCCAGATCCCCTCTTTTCCCATACGAATTGGACCCTGTAATTATATAACTAATTTAAAGAACATTTGGCCTTACCTGAAGTGGCTTCTGTACCCTGGGCTGACTGAAATGCTGCTTACAGCTGGGTCTGTGACTTGGCACTTCACAGAGGAAGAGGGAGTATTCCTGCATCCTGAGGATAAAGACCTTGCCAGAAAAAGTCAAGGAAAAGACTATCTCAAGAAGGCATATTCTATGGGAGGAGGGGCGGAAATGGAAACTTTCATAATTTAATAAACTTTGAAAAGAAAAAAGAAAAAAAAGAAGAAAAAAAAGAAGGCATATTCTAGGTTTTAATGACAAGAACTTTCCAACTGTGAAAGCCCATGTTAAAGAATCCAACTGCTGAAGCTAAATATTTGGTAGAAGGCAGAATTTTTCCCATAAATTGCAAGCTAAGACTAGTAAGAAAGTTTGGGATGTATGGATCATTGCAGCAGTCACACCAATAGATTATACACACATATACATTTACTTGGTTGTGTGTGAGCATGGGTGCGTATGTGCCACAGCCCCACTTCTGTCAGAAAGCTTAGGCAGTCAGTTCTCCGTTTCTACCATGTGGGTTCCAAGGACTTGAACTCGTGCCATCAAGCCTAGAGGTACCTTTACCTGTTGAGCCATCTCCTTTGCCCAACGTTTTATTTTTTACAATAAGGCTAAAAACATTTTCAAATGTCACCCCCCCTTTGATGACTAGTCTAGCCATCGCCAAACATGTTTACTAATGGCCTTGTTCAAGAGTTCATGTTCAGTGTACTGTAACATCCAACTTCCCATCATGAGTGTACTTATGCTCACGTCTCTTGCTTATGCTTGGCAGTCTTTCAATCTTTGTCAATCATATTGTTTTCATGAATGCCTATCCCTCACCTGGCACAGCTCAGGCCCAACCTAAAGAGGGCAAAACCGCACAGCAGTGCACCAACCTAATGTCTCAATGGGTTTGAACTTCGCATTTCTGTTTATGATGAACTTGGACCTCTTTTTTTTTTTTTTACAATGAAGTGTCACCTGTGCTTCAGCTTTTGAGAAACTTGGATTTTCCTTTCCACACATCTATTTTTCCTCTTTTAGACAGTCTTGCTAAGTAGCCCAGGCTATCTTCAAATTTATGATCTTCTGGCCTCAGTGTTCCGAATTTTGGGATCACAGAGACTGTAGCACGATACCCAACTGTTTTCAATTTTATATATGCAGACATTCTTAATACTATGAACCCACTGTCAAGTCACAGGTGTTATTAAGAAATCCTTCCAAGGCAGAATAGCCCCACCAGTTCATGCTCTAATGCTCTTTTCCTTAGCATTCAGATCTCTAGGAGATAAGCAGGTTCCTTTGTATGTACCTAAGAGGCAGAGTTACTTTAAATGTACTTATATCACTAATTTCCATTTTTAACAAAGTTCATGATTCTTCAACTGTTTTAGGAACAAAGATCCAAGGTTGAGGGAGACAGTGCGGTCAGAAAAATGCTTGCCTTACAAACATGAAGACTCAACACATTCCGAGAACTCACAGGAGAAGTCAAGCATGGTAGTCAGAGATTCCTGGAGCATGCTGGTCAGCCATATACTGGTAAGCAGAACTTACCTCAAGACACCCATTATATATACAACACTCAACTGAGATTACAGAGGGGGGAGTGGTTAAGAAGTGCTTCCTACAGTAAATATTTAGTAAGCTGGGAAAGAGGCCCCCTCGATGTATACAAGCACACAGACTGTTGCCTCACTCCCCCGCCCCCCCATCCTGTAGTGGAGATTGAGCCCAGGGCTTTGTACGTGCTAGGCAGGGCTGACAGAGCCAACTATATTCAAGCCCCGCAATGGACTTTTAAACTGGCACCACCTAGTAGGTTCTGAACTACAGGGCCAAAACAATGCCTTCTAAGGTCTGATGGGTTCCTCTAGTTCTCCCCAAGAGAAGCAACTCTAGAGCCCCAAACTGCCATCCCAATTGCAATCTGCAGTCAGTCCTTCCCCCAACCAGCCCGTCGTACTAAATAGCAAACCTGCCTTCCTCTCTACCACCCACTCAGGTAATTAAAGTCAACACAGTTGCTTCTCTGGAATCCGGATCCTTGTCTTTCCTCAAGGGCTCCTATGGGTGCCCAAGGCACACTACACTAATAATGACTGCTGATCCATCCAACTACTCACAGATTATGTCTCTAGCATTATTTCAGCATTTCCCTCCCATCCCCTGATGTCTATACGTGAATCTATGTTATGTGTAACTGCTGCAATTTCCCTAAGTCACAGGCCAAAGGGTCACATGGAAACACTGTACTGTAATTCCAAATCAGGGAAAAGAAGAAAAAGAAACTAAGTAATAAGTCCTGAGAAAGCTGCATTTACATAACTAAAAAAAAAAATCAAGTATGTAAAGACCCATAAAAATTTAATTTATTAAAATTTTTATTTTGAATAGCTTCAATCAAAAGATTTCATGAGGTTATTTACAATGCTGAATGTACAATTATGAATATCTACCTTTCTGACATCAGGGTACCATTCTTGAGCAGCAATACAATTTTAAAAATATAAAGATGTGGTATCACTTCTGATATATAAAGTTACTTAAAAAATTCACGGTCTTAGGGAGTTCACAAATCATAACAGGAAGTAACTTTTATTAATTTCATGTGCACATAATTACCAAATTGTAATACACTAAAAATACATGTAAATGTCCAGACTGTACAAAAGTTAATACCCTATCTCGTTAAAAGTTCCCAGAACCTCCCACCATAAATATACAAAACCCTTTTCTTAGACACATCAAATCTGCATGCATAAAATTAGATGTTGCTCCTCACTGCATATGAGCTTTTGCTGCTTTTGAAACAGGTTTTACATATGTGTATTATATATTATATTATATTCCACATATAATATAATATATAATACACATCTATCTATATATGACATTATTTACCATGCCTTTGAAACTGTGCAGAACTTTCATCAACATGGGAAACCAAATAAATAGTGTAAAAACAGTAACAGGTTTACTTAAATGCAAGTGCAATTTGGAAATCTTCCAAATCTCAGGCTTATAAAACTTATAAAAGTATTGGTTTATTGTTGGTTTTTCCACTCTCACCCAAGCACTATTTGCAGCATTGCTATACAGCAGTTGGTGCTAGAAGATAGAAAACAGCTACCACTATTTGTTTATATTTGATGGAGGAAAACAACTTTAAACAACCCTGAGGGAGACCCACATTAAAAAATCTTATTTATTTAAAAAGTTAAAAAGTTACATATCATTATTTAACAATTACTTTCCCGGACATTTCTGTCCTTTAAGTATGTGCATAAATAAAATTTAAATCAGCAATATTATCAATCTTAATACATCAAAATAATATATGTACAGATTTTAAAATTTAGGTCTGTATATACTCAAATAATTTAATGTAAAATCCAGAACTCAAATCTCTATGTGACGGTGACCTACAGAAGACTCCGTCTACCTACGGTACTAAGCAGGACCCATGTCTGAACTCAGACATTCCGCAAACAATATCCTCACTGGAACAACCTACCCTGTCTATGTTCAAATCTAACTTCCTACAAATGCTTTCTCTCACCTACATAAAACCTTGTTTCCTTTTGTGAACAACATGGACAGATGAAATATAAACCCTTATCAACTCTAAATATTAAAAAGGGTGTGTCAAAAATAGCCTTTTATGACCATTCTCTTGAGGGTGTTAAATACAATTAATATTGGGCTTCTAAGCTGCAGCTAGAAATTAATTATATGCTTCTATATTTAAACCAAAAAATAAGACTTAACAATTCAGAAAAATCACTAAGAATAATATGAGCATTATTTGAAATGAACATGGACAGTATAAAACAACAGAGAAAAAGTAATTATAGAAAATAGTGCTAATTCACAGCTCAAGAGGTCTAAGATGCATAGCTTCATAGAATCATTCATGGGACAATTGTTCTTATCATCTAACATATAGTAATATACATTTTGTTGGAAAAATTCGATTATGTGTTTTGTAAGAATCACTAGTGGCAATAGCAGTAACAGTGATCCTGAGAATAATTTACATTTTTTCTACAATTATCAAACATCATTCAGGTCTCTGTAACATAAAAAAATAAGAAAAAAAAATGGTTCCAGAAATCTGGGTAACATCTGGTAAACTGGTAAGCATGTACTGGGACAGTATGATCAACTACGAGTGGAAAGTGTAACGTGGTTAGCTAAGAAAGAACACAGAATAACCTCACACTGCTTCACTAATTTAGGGTCCATTTTTTATAGCAATGCCAGCTCCCCAAGTTCATCATAACTATGGGCACTACTAAACTCCCAAGTCCTACCTAGGAAGGCATTGTGGAAGTTCCTTGAGAACTGAACATTAATCAGATAAAACAAGTGTGAAAAATGCTTTCTACATTTCTTTTGGCTCAATAAATGTGTATACTTTATTTTCTCAAGCTCACTTGTAACAAAACAGGTATGTGCTGACCTCTGGTGCCACCTAATGGCATAAAACAAGCTCTACTCAAGTTCACATTGCTTTGTAAAAGCCAAACTCAGTATTCACTATTCCTTTAAGCCTCATTATCCAAAGGAGAGCCATATACCAAGGTTAAGCTCTAACTCAAAAACCAAAGCAAACCAACAACAACAACCAAAACAAACAACAAATTTATCCTATTCCTTTAGGTTAAAAACAGAGAGAGCAAGCATTTAAAATGATATAAATCCTGAAAGAAAAACAAACAGCGGGTATGAAGAGATGCGAGGTCTACCACCAAGGGAAACGATCATCTCTCTCTGCATGCATGTATTTGGAGACAGGGCTTTACTAGCTACTCTAGGCTATCCTTGAACACTCCTCCTGCCTCAGCCTCCTGTGCAGGAGTACAGGCCTGTACCACCACGCCTGACTCAGAAATAAATCTTTTCTAGTGGGAAAAAAACAAAAACAAAAACGTTTTTTAATGAGGCCAACTGGGCTGTTGATGTCAGACATGGCATGAGACCCACAATGTTACAAAGGAGATCAAGACAGCAGTGAAGCACCTTTGGCTAGAAAGTGACACCAGGCAGTCTACACACAGAATATAAAACCAGAAATGGGAGTTACCTGAGATGCTCTACCAACAGTAACACACAAACTCACTCCTTCTTCAGAAACTGGTATATGTTTAACATAGAATTCTTTGGGAGAAACACTGGAATCAAAACAGACTTCCAACCTATTTTCACTGAAGGCTAATCACAATTAACAACCATAAATTTTTAACAGTCCCAATTCAGGGTCTATATATAAGAGGAACTAGCTAATAAAGGGTTTGTGAAAATTAAATTTAAAGAGGCAGACTAGTGTCAAAAGCCAAAAATTTAAAAAACCTAACAGCTCTCTCATACCCAATATAAAGTGTATATCATATTTAGGTTACTGCATGAATATCTAGCCAGACTGATAGTTAATAACTGTGAGGCAAATGCCGTTTTACTGGTTTTGTTTTTTTAATCAACTACTGTCTTATGAGAGGGATATAAACTAAAACAGTGCCATTCTGACACCTAACATCACATCTTCCTGAATACTGTCACTTGCACGCAGAGACAGTCTCTGCTATGCTATGGTGCTGATCTGACATGATCCATTCTCCTTTACTACAGTTTTGGCTTCCGTTGTGGTCTGAGGTTTAGGTGGCCATTCAGGGTCATCTCGGAGCTCCTGTGCCAGGTACATGTATTTTGCTTTTGGTGTCTTTTTTCTGCAGCTCAAGGCCCAGGACAAGCAACATTTTCCCCACCGATCCACTGACTCCTGGGAAAGGAAAAACATCCGGAGTAAGGGCTTATTTGTTAACATATGCACTGTGCATAGAACAATATGAAATAACTTCTAAATACAACAAATAACTAGGAAAAACTTTATGCAAAAAGGTCAGCTTTCAATTTAGGAACAGACTGTTTTTAAACAGGGCTTTTCCCAGCTCCTTTACTTTTGTGCACATGTCCTCTTGTGTCCTTGTGCTAGTTAAATGGCTTTCCCTAGCAGAAAACACCGAGTATATTATAAGTAACTTTAAACTACTCAGGAAATAGTTTTAATATTTAATTTGGAAATCCTCAAATTCTATCCCAAACTATTTTTTTTATACTGATACCTAGCAATCACTTTTAGAAGAAAGTGACCATTGAAAGACGCCACTTACTGCTAATAACCCTTTTCAAAAGACAAAGCCTGAGGTAAGCACCAGAATCTCACTGTCCCCATCTCCGGCCAGGCATGATGGCACAAACCTGCAATCCCAGCTTGGGTGGTGTGGTGGTTTGCTTTTGTCACGTTAACAGACAGGTCAGAGTCATTGGCAAGAAGCCTCAATCGAGAAAATGCCTGTAGGCAAGTCTGTGGGCATTTTCTTGATTAAAGATTAATGTGGGAGGGACCAGATGACTGGGGGTGCTGCCACCAGATGCAAACCGAGCAAGCTACAGGAAACAAGGCAGTAAGCAATGTTCCCCCACAGCCTCTGCTTCAGTTCCTGCCTTGGCTTCCCCTGATGATAGACTGTAGTCTCTAGGTCAAATAAGCCCTTTCCTCCAAGTTACTTTTGGTCGTGGTATCACAGCAATAAAAACCCAACTCACACAACTACATAGTAATTCTGTTTAAAAAAACAAAAAAAAAACAAACAAACAAAAAAAACAAGTAACACCATACCCTCAATGATATAAAACTGCTTTCTCCCAGTAAGTTTCCCTTAGCGCTCCACAATGGGAAAAAGATGTGAGCCGGGCAGGAGAGATGGCTCAGTGATAAAAGAGAACTGCTCTTTCAGAGGACTTGAGTTCAATTCCCAGCACACACACACGGCAGCTCACAACCACCTGTAACTTCAGCTCCAGGAGCTCTAATGCCCTCTCTTCTGTCCTCCACAGGCACTGAACATAGATGCACATATACTACACATGTGGACAAAACACAAATTCATGAAATAAACTAAATTGAAACCATTGTGATCAATCACAATATTACTGATGAATATGACCTTAAATAAATAATCCTTCGAGAACAGGAAGACAAAGTTCTTGCAGGAAAATAAACTCAACAGAATAGTTCCAAGTGAAGTTTCACCTCTGAAAACAGCCCGTAAATTACTTGGTTATTGCTTCTTTCAAATAAAATTTATATCCCAGTTATCCTTTTGCCAACCAATAACCCAGCCCACACTAGGCTCTAACCTCAATGGAAGCAATCCTACAAAATGGAAATAAAACAGATGAACATTCTAATATGAACATCCACCGTACCTACAGGCAAGAAAGGCAAATGTGTTAGAATACGTAGTTGAAACACACTTCTTAATTGGCCAACAGGACCCAAGCATGTATAGTACCTATAATCCTAGTACTAGGGAGGCCAAGGCAGGAAATTTTGGGGCTCATACCAGCCTGAGCTAAACAGTAGGTCTGGGGCCAGTTTAAGCTACAAAGTGAAACCTCTAACTCAACAGATTGATCCATCAATTAATAAGGTAAGTAGTAGCCAATGGGAAGAACCAAAAGTACTTCAAAATAAAAGCACTTTTCCCACTTTAGTAAGACAACCATCAAGAATCTGCCTCTCTTTTTCAGTATGTAAATAAAACTAAGCTGCATCACTCCCAAGGATTTAAAGGCAAAACTGTAGTCACAGATAAGTTATATTACATTCTAGGGAAAACTAAAGGATTTGAAGATTATACATCCAGTAACCTCTATTACCACCACAACCAAAGTTATTAGTGGCGCATGATGGCACTTGCCTGTAACACCAGTATGCAGGAGGATCTTCACAAGTTTGAGGCTGGTCTTATCTATAACGTGAGTTCAAGGCCAGCCAGTGTTATACAGTAAGAGACCCCCACATCAAAAATTAAAAAGGGGGGGGGGAGCCCAAAGTGGGGCGTGGTATTACATTATTTCTTTAAAAAGAATCCACCACAAATCCACCCAGTAATCACCATGCCCAGGATCCCTCAGGTGATCAAGCAACAGCAGTTTCCTTCCCAGTGTAGCTGCACCACACAACAGTCAGTCATCTGAGATGACCTCATACTACTGCATTTTACTGCTTCCCCAGTGCTTCGATTCTTCAGCCCAATTGTGGAAAAGAGCACTGTTCCTAAATATGAAAGCTGTCACTTTCATTGACAGTAGCACTGCTAAAGCATCACAGAGAAATACATCATGCTTGTCTGTGCAGACAGGAGATCTCTGAATGGAAAGGGATGCACAACAGGCAAAGAGCCAAGAGTAATGGAATCTAAGACACACACAGACACACACATTCCCCTCTAAATTCACTGCTCTACACCTGTGGAAATAAAGGCACGCAATAGAATTAAAGTCAATCATAAGTGACATCGTAAGTGCAGTTTGCTTTTAATATTTTTATATTAATATATATGTGTATGTATATACCCACACACATATATATTCACATCTGTTGAAAACAATGTATAGTCATTGTATATCAAGTCACAAAGAACACCTGAGATTCCCCCTAGTCTATCATAATTAGAAAACATGTTTGTTCCTGTAACCTTAGCTCCCCTAAATGTCACAAACAATAAATATACCACCCACAAGGTTCATGAGACTGCACATAAATGTACCACACACATCCTGAAACAACATAATTCACTGGAAGAAAATATTAAAGGCTACAGTCATGACAGACAGAAATCAGGAAAGGAAAGATGACAGCAAAGGAAGACAGTCGCTGTGTGACAAAAAGGGTATTTTAGTCATGGAACTTAGAATGAGCACTTGGATCTCCTCAACGCAGTTTCAGTTCCTGAAGGAGGACAACACTGAATCCTTAGATTTAGTTAATTTGGAATGGTTAAGATAGTCGAAAACAGAATCTCTAAGACAAGAGCAAGAATATCACTGGTCAACAAAGAAACCCAACAAATGTTTATAAAGGTCTGCAGTCACAATCTTGCTTCTGAGATATTCCAAGTTGCTCATTCTAATGCCCAGATCTTTAAGGCCAGCAGTCATTTGCGAAGCATTTTTTTTCCATGTATGGCGTGTATTGTTATTTTCATAAATCTTTCATATCAATCCTCATTATAAAACAAATATAATCCAAGCATCCTACCAATCTATCTAAGTAAATTCAAATGGTATTTACAAATAGATTTTTTTTCAGGTTGCATAATGGCTACTGCTCAGTTAGATTTTCACGAAAGAGAAAACGTAGCTCAGGCATAAAATCTCAAGAGGGTCACAGTGCACAACAGCATGATTCTAGTTCTCTCATGACTTCCAAATTCAACCACCTCAGTTTAGTGTGGGGCCTAGACTGCAACCTACAGCCCTGAACTAACTCAGCAGTGCCCCTGAATACGAAAGAAAAGGGTTGTTCTTTCTCTAACACTGAGAGCTGCAGTCTGGGATCTCATGGGCTTCTCTGAACTGAGCACCTCCGGTTAGGCAGTGCAGAGTAAGGACTGTGGCAGAACAACACCAGCATACACGCCTGCAGTAGAGGTAGCGTCACCAGCCATCTCTGCTTCCTTCTCATCTACAGGAGAGCTTTCCACATCAGTATGGGTGCAGCTCTGAGATACATAATTCTTTTTCGGCAGGAGTTGTTGTCTATGTACCAAAGTACATTTATTTAGCAGCAGCAATGGCCTCTACCCATTCTATATGTCAATAACAAACTCGCTCCCTTATGTGTGATGACCAAAATTGTCTACAGACACTGCCACTCCCTGGCGGGGGAGGAGAGGAGGAGTTGGATAGAGTTGCCCCTGAACAAGAAGCAAAGCACTTCACACAGAAGCATCACTAAAGGAAACAATCTTTATGCACCAAGATAAGGACTCTCCTTTCCTAAAAATAAAGCTCCAAAAAGTGCCTTCTAAAACCACAGAACTAATCCAGAACGGGTCTATTTGCTGAGCTCACATGCTAATGGACTACCCGTTATCTTTATTACCTCCCAAGAGCATTTTTAGAGGTAGAACTTCACATGAATAAAAACTTAAAAATTAAGAACCATATTTACAAATTTTGAAAACACAGTAGTAAAAAAATATGTATATTTGCCATTCTAATTGTGCTTGAATAACTGGGGATTTCTTTGAGCTGGGTAGGGTGGCACTTAATCCCAGCACTCAGAAGGCAGAGGTTGGCAGATCTGAGTTCCAAGATAACTTTGGCTACACAGAGAAACTGTCTCCAAAAACCAAAAGAAAAAGGCATTTCTAATTCACATATTTTGTACCTTAAAAGACCCATCTTTTAAGCAAGCAAACCCCTCTTTAGAATATGCCCGCACTTCCTATTTGGAGAAGGTTAGAGATTTCTTTGGAGAAGGTTAAAAGTGTGCATGTTTCCCTAGGCCTGTGCCTTTCCAACACTAATATCTCACACGAGAAGGGTGACCGGAGCCATTCTGAGCTGAAATAATGTAATGATAGTGAAGTCACCAAAAGAAAATACAGTTGTGTCATTATCACAGAGGAGGCTCAGCTACAGGACCTGAGCCCACAGTTCTTTCCGGCCCTGCCCTCCACTAGTGACAAACAAGCATTGCACTGCTTTGAGAAAAAAGAAACTGGAGTTGACTTCACTCATGCTGTCACTGCATACCACTGTTACTCCACCATGCAGCACAGAGCAGAGTAGCACTCTACATCGTACACAGCAAGCCTGGAATCTAACCTGGATCTCAGGCCTGCTTAATTACCAACATAAAACTCAGGAAGTCACCATTTAGGTAAAAGGTGATGAAAATGAGTTGATGGTCTAAGTCAGATGCCAATCCTTGAACACATATTAGCAAGGAACATCACCCATGTTATAAAGAACAAAGGGTAACATTTGGAAATAGGTTCTAATGTAATACAATCTGTCCTTGAACTCTCTATGATCTTTCCTTCTACCCCCACCTCTCCTGTACTGGGATTGTATGCTACAACTTTTGGCAAGGTGCGATGTTAAATGTTAAAGTTCTCGTAGGGAGGGCTATGACTGAATGACAGCAATCCACAGACTAACCTGTACATTCTATCAAGAGCTCTCGGGAGGCAGAGGCAGGCGGATCTCTGTGAGTTTGAGGTCAGCCTGTTCTACAAGAGCTAGTTTCAGGACAGACTCCCAAGCTACAGAGAAACCCTGACTCTAGGGGGAGAGGGGGCTCTACTGTAACATCCTCATATCCTCACACTAGGTAACAAACTTTTCTTTTCTTTTGCCAGAGATTTCTGTGCTATCTGATAAATCACAGTTATTCCACTACCTTTAAAAGCCCTCATCACTGCTTACACAGAAATGAGCAAATAATTTTTGAATGACTGGTACTGGTCAGGGAAAGCTAAAGGCCACATTAAATTAATGCATAGCAACTGTCAGAACAAAAACACAGAAATAAAATCGCAAAAAGTGTCTCCTTATCATTATCTAAGAAAAAACAAAAATTTGTTTACCTAACAGTCATTTACCTTCTAGTCAGACTAGTGAAAATATAATAGCATGCATATAAAGCATATAAAACATAAACTATAAATCAGGCAAAAATTACAGAATTAACTCTCAGCTGGGTGGTAGTGGTGTATGCCTTTATTCCCAGCACTCATGAGGCAGGGGTAGGTGGGCAGATCTCTGGGAGTTCAAAGCCAACCTGGTCTACAAAGTGATTCCAAAACAGCCAGGGCTACACAGAGAAACCCTTCTGGGGGAAAAAAAATTAACTCTCATCTTTTAGGATAAGACAGACTGAGACATTCGAGTGAGCACATACACACATACAGAGGATTGGAATGGAAGAGACTTACGAAATTCTCAAAGTCCTAAAAAACCTGTATTAAGTATTGAGTTTTCTAGGACTCCTTACCAAAAAAGAAAAAGAAATGCCAGGCACGACAGAGGCGGCTGAAGCTGAACACACAGAATAACAGAACAAAGTACACAAGTGGAAAAACCAGTATGTACGTGAAGAATCAACAGTAATCAACAGCTCGTTTCCAACCTGTGGTGGCTGTGTGGTGGTGAAACGATACTCTCCTTGTTTGTCTCGACTGAACACAACCTTCCAAAGGACCGTGTCAAGGAAGAAGCTCTGAGAGATATTCCAGTGAGTTAAGAATTAAAAATGCCAGGTCATTCCTTTCAACATGCACATTTGCTAACATTCACACAATGTTGCATCATTAATATAAAAAATGTGATTTGCTTTTCATATGGAAAACTTCAGTAAATACTACAAAAGGTTAAGTAACTTTTGTAACAAATACAAGTCATAAAATACTTGATAAAAACAAGACTAAATTTTCTACAAATCAGGTTCTAATCCCCAGTGCCTCTCTAAATTAACAATGTTGATGATTCATAGCCATTTCCTTAAAGAGTTATTTTTATTTAATATCTAGTATTAATTCTGTTTACATTATCTATACAAACATTTTATCGCAAACAATACAAATAATTCTCTACATAACAAGAATAAAAGATGAACTTACACAGTAGGAAAAGAATCCTAACATGATCTTAAATGTGCTTTCTAGGATTTTTGAATAGAAAATACACATTCTATAGAATGTAAAATTATCAGCTACAAATATCCATGCTCTCATCTCATTTCAATTTAAACCCAAGCCATTTTTCCAAGCGGCACACTCGACTTTCTACTGGGAACAGATGGCTCTGTGAGCTGCACGGACACAAACTCTTCTCTCTACTCACTGCCCATTTCTGCCGTCTCACTACCTAATGCCTCCTATATTCATAAATCCAACTCCATCAAATCTAGACAGAACTGCAGAAAGGGCTGATCAGGAAGTTGAAACAATCTGCCTAAAATGAGAGTTTGGGCTTCTGTATAATATTAGCTGTTCTCCCCACCACTGCCACCTTTAAATCACCCAAGAATCCCAAAACTGGGTGCTTACCTCAACCGTGATAGACACGAAGGCATTGATAAGAACAATGATAAGCATATGGATACGCCACTGGTATGGTACAAATACAATCTAGAAGACAAAAAAAAATTAAGTTAGTCTTAATTGATATTATAGCATAATATCATGGTATCTGAAGTTATGTCTGTAATCCCAGTCAGTACTTAGGAGGCAGAAAAATGAAGATCATGAGTTCAGTTAATCCTCAGGTATCTTACAGGTTCAAATCAGAGTGGAATACCTGAGACCTTATCTCAAAAAAACAAAAAGATCTGAGTTTACCAAAAACAATGCTATGTACCTGTATGTATATACATATTTACATAGCTACATGCATACATACATATATAAAATTCAAATACATACTTTATCCATTTAACTTTTGGTAATACCACAAAGTATGTATCTTTTCACACAATAAAACTATCTCACAATTTAAAAAGTGATTGCTCTCACCACTGAATCTTTTTTGTTTGTTTTTCAAGATAGGGTTTCTCTGTGTAGCCTTGGTTGTCCTGGAACTCACTCTGCAGACCAGGCTGGCCTCAAACTCAGAGATCTGCCTGCTTCTGCCTCCCAAGTGCTGGGATTAAAGGTGTGCATTACCATTGCCTAGCTAGCATTAAATCTTAAGAGACTCAAAAGTCTAATCTACTCTAATCTACAATACTACAAATGTCTAACAAGTATTTTTTTTTTAATAAAAAATCTTTCAAAAATGAGGCAGAGACACTAGAGCAATGGCTCTGTGGTTAGGAAGCATGTGGTTCTCAGCATCCAGATCTGGTAGCTACATCTGTTGGCTACCTGTTAACTCCAACACCAAGGGATTCAGTGCTGTCATCTGGCCTCTGTAGGCCCTGCAATCAGCATGTATATTCCTCCAGATATACATATAGCTAAAAATGAATCTTTTTTTAAAAATGAGGTAGATACTAATTTAATGCTGGTCAAATTAAGTTGACTTTTCCCTGTTTAAGCTTCTAAACAGCTAGAGCAACACTCACACACCATAATATCTAACACTAAAATCTGATTGCACTCTCTGACCTAAAACATCCTTTAAGTTAGCAACTATTTATCAATGAGTAGCTAAAACACGGCATAAGAGGTGAAGGAGTAAGTTGACCCAATGGACTTCCTATTAACACACTATTGCTCTTGTAAAGTTTGAGATGAGAAGACTGCAAGAGATGCTAGAATGCCAAACCAGACCAGGGACAATGAGCCAATGAAGCTCAAGGAAAAACAGGAAAATTTTCAGAACAGGGAACAGCAAAAAACAAACAAACAACAACAAAAAAAACCAAAACCCCCAAAACAAAACCACTAAGAAAGAGAGGGGGGGCATCAAGAAGAGAAGCAGCAAGATGGAAAGAGAACACGATACATTTAGCTTTAAGCCTTAGCTTCTAGATACTGTATGTGTGTATGATGTATACACATACTTATGTACACACAACACAGGAGGTCAAAGGAGGAGGGTCAAGTTTCCTGTTCTATCACTCTCAAATACATGTCCTTGGTGCCGGGATTAGAAGCACACACAACCATATCCAGCATTTTATGTGGGTTCTGGGATTTGAACTTGGGTCCAGCAAACATTCTTGCCCCTGAGCTAGTTTAACTCCAAAGTTAAGCTTTTTAAAATGCTCATTTTGGGCAACTGCTATCACATAGTATTCAGGTCTACCACTCAATATTACAGCTAAACTCAGGGTATAGACTGAATAGTCTTTAACTTACTGATGCCAACTGCAGGCAAACTATTGAGTGCAAGGGAGATCAACTGAGTACTGAGCGAAAAGAGGGACATGATCAGAAAGATGAGAAACTAATGTTTAAAGATGGGTCAGAAAGAAAAGAGCCACAATGGAGGATCTAGAAGGAGGATCACGGAGGCCAGGAAAAAGCCAAAGGGAAGAAAGCACACAACTTAAGGAGAAAATGTCTCAAAACACTGGCCTGGTTACATGGTTCAGTATTTGGGGAACTAAAGGAGGCGGAGGGGGGGAGGGGGGTTTAGAACAAAAACTTCAAAGAACACACGCCCATTGCACGTAACTAATAAGGTGGTTAATGGTCTTGGTCAGGGTAGTTTCAGTAGCTCAGCCATGCTAGGTGGCAGAGTGTATTGAGGTGAGCAGAGTATGTGTTATAACACTTAACTAAATCTCACAATCAAACATATGAACACAGTCGTGCACTGCTCTTCAAAGTTCAATAATGCAGTTTTCATGAAAAGACTCAAGATAAAATTTCCTATAGCTAGGGTAAGGTTTGTCACTCTTCCAAACTCGTGTTGAAATGTGATTTCCACCCTAAGCGTTAAGAGGCAATGGGGTCTTTACGAGCAATTAGTTTAAAGGGATTCCATTTTCAAGAAAGGATTAATATACTTTCTGCTAAGACAGTTTAAACCAAAAACAGTTGTCCAAAATAAGCTGGGCTTCCCTGGCTCTTTGCACGCCAATTTCAAAGTTCACCTTTTGGCTCTCGAATGGAAATCCTCACTAAAAGCTGATCAGATGCTGCTGCAGGGCTCTCAGACCTCAGAACAAAACCTCCTCTTCTCTTTATAAACTATCTTTCTTCAAGTATTTTGTTATGGCGACAGAAAACACTGAAAAGGCTAGAGTGATAGCTCGGTGGTTAAGAGTACTCAAGTTCCAAGCACTAAAGCGGTGGCTCACGAATGCCTACAACACCACTTCCAAAGGGTCAGTGGTGTCCTCTCCTGGCTTATTTGGGTACCAGAAAAGCTGTAGTACATATACATACACGCAGTAGTACATATAGATATGTGTACATACACGCACATCTTTTTAAAAATGAAAAGACGGGACTAAAACAGGTAATGGTGGTGCAGCTCACACCTTAATCCCAACACTTGGGAGGCAGGGGCAGGAGGATCTCTCTCAGTTCAAGGCCAGTCTGGTCTATAGAGTGAGTTTCAGAATAATCAGAGCTGTTACACAAAGAAACCCTGTCTCAAAACAAGCAAATAAACAAAACAACAACAACAACAACAACAAAAATCACACACAGAGTTGAAGAGATGGCTAAGAGGCAAAGAGAATGTGCTGTTCCTTCATGGTCCCAAAGTTAGTTCCCAGAACCGACTATCTGGTGACTCACAAACTCAACTCTAACTCTAGTTTCCGAGGATCCAATGCCTCTGGGTCCCTGAGGGAAACCTGCACTTAACTACACATATCTACATGTAAAAACACACACACATGTGCATGCGCGTGGGTATATGTGTGTGTGTTTGTGTGTGTGTGTGTATGTGTATTAAAAATCTGAAAAAGAAAACAAAATAGTAAGAACTAAAACACACTCTTAGAAACCCCATTTTTGTACTGGCCTATAAATATATACCTATTTGTGATATAATAACTTAGAACATCAAGATATTGTTAACAACCTAAATGAAACTAGTTTGGGGGGAGGGGTCTGCACTACAGATTTCTCTTGAATCTTTTTTAAAAACAAGGTCTCACTTTGTTTCTCATGGTAGCCTCAAACTCCTGAGCTCAAACAATCCTCCTGCCTTGGTATCTCATGTTAATGTAAATAGATACAGCTTTTGTTCCCTTGACATATCAATCCTGCAATACATCAAACAAAAATGCACAAAACATCTCATGGAGAAAATTACATTACTGAATGGAATCTTCACTGTTAACTCTGTAAGAGTTTCCTTTCCAAAAAGAATCTGACTAGAGATGCAGACTTGGGGGTCCAGACTGATAAAAGACGGGAAGAAAGGGTCACTGTCCTACTCTCAAGGGCTACGAAAGGACAAGCACACACCACAGAGAGTAAACACCCTATTTACGCCGCACCCCTCCCGTGTGGAGCCTCTGAGAGCTGCACCTTTCAAGGCAATGCAACTGTACTCTTTTATTTTCTATTCTTTAGTCTCCATCCTTGTGCATGTGGTTCTTGGTGGTTTTGTCTGTTTACTGCTGTTAAGTTGGAGACTGCCACGTTTCTTCACCCATTAGGCTTTCTGTTAACTATACCCTCCATCTATGCTTCACCTCTTACTTCAATGTCTTTTCCTTTTTCATCTCTAATCCTTCCTCTTTTGGCCTCTCAATTATAACCTTCCACAGCCTTACCAATTCCTACTATCTGTGAACCCTAACAGTATCTCACCTTCCCTCTCCTTGATTCTTTCCTCAAAGCTGAACTCATACTTATTCTTACCCTCACCCACCCTACTTTGATCCCAATCCTAACCTCATTAACTAAAATACTCCACTATTATCAGCGGTAGTTCATTCTCCAACAGACTCAATTCAAAGGAGTGCTGTCGTTACTATATTCACCTCAGGAAATAAACAGAGCCTACTAACAGAACTCCCTTCTGAACTAATCCTCAACTCTACCATATCTAAGTCTCACTTGCACATAAGATGTGCTTATTAAAAAAGAAAAATTCCTAGCAATGAAATTATTCTGGATATGTGAACGCTAAAGAAGTAACCTAAGAAACTGGAAAAAAAAACTTTTCAAAAATTGCTAATCCTACAGTAATGGCATCTGGTATGAATGAATTACATGAAACCCCTGGCAGAGAACATAGAAGATAAGTATACTTGAAGATATCAAACAACATAAGCTGCTGAATAAAAACATAAGAATTGAACAAAACAGAGAAGGCAATGTAAGGCTCTAAAGAGGAATTCCAGAGATGGAAATACTAAAAATCAGTCATCTGCAATGCTGGGAATGGAAATAGGTAAAACAAAAAGCTCCCTGCAAAGTTTCACCAACTGAATGGATCAAGGAGAGGAGAGAAAATGGAGGAACAAGAGCAACCCAACATAGTATAAAGTTGCTAGTGAGAATTTATAAAAATGTGTGACGTTCTGTAAAGATCAAATACAGGCATAGGAGAAAAATCTCATTTTAAAGGGAGAGAGAACATTAATAAGATTTCTTCACGTTAGGAAAGATGCCAGCCTAGTTACAGGAGGCATTTAGGGCCAAACAAGACCAGAAAAGAAGCTCCTCAGTCACCGCATAATTAAACAACAAACTGAAAGCAGCAAGCTAAAGAAGATCAAGTCACACATCACGGCAGCCTAGCTTATCAGGAGAGCAGAGGGGCAACTGAATTTTAAGAGTCAAAAAGCTTGTAATGGTGTCTTTCAAGTTCTGAAAGACAACTGCCAACCCAGAATACAAGAATACTTTACCCCAAACTGTGATGTGCTTAAATATGCCTGAAACAAACTACCTAGTGTCACTTTAAAACAACACTGGCTACTGAGTTGTGTTGAACCGGACTCCCTTTTTTCTTAACACTGTGCTGCTTGCAGAGCGCCCCACAAGAAAGAACAAGACTCCACCTGAGAAAAATAGCACTGCTTAAGGTATAACCATAACTGATTTCTAGTTATGCTAAAGAGCCACCGTAACAAAAACAGCACGGTAATGGCAAACAACAATAACAACAAAACCTCAGATATGGAGATCAACAGAATATAATAGAGGATCCACATAAGAGTGTACACAACTATAAGATGCCAAAAGCACAGATAGTAAAAAGGTAGCATTTTCAACAAAGTATGATGGGGAAACTGGAGACCAAAATGTAGAACAAACCTAGTGCCTTATCTCAACTCTAGATGGATAAAGAACCTCAGCATAAGACCTGAAACTTTCTCAAGAAAAAAAATACAAAGTAGATATTAAGATAAGGGAACAACTTTGTGAAAAAAAAAAAAACTCTTGACTGCTCAGGCAGAAAAGATCAATAACAAATAGGATTTCATAAACAAAAAGCTTCTGTACAGCAAAACTACCACCACCAAAATCCCCTGTCAATCAAGTGAAAAGGCAGCCTATAGAATGGGTTAAAAAAAAATTGCCAGATACACATCTGACAGAGGATTAGCATATAGAATATACAAAAAATTCAAGAAACTAAAAACTAAGGAAACAGTGTCCCTCTCACCCGGGTGGGGGAGGGGGGGACAAAAAGCAAACAAAAGTGGATACTGAGCAGAGAATTCTCAAAAGAAAAAAAAAGTTGGAAAATAAACATTTAAAAGTATTCAATACCAGCAGCCACTGAGCAAACTGAAACTGCTTTGAGATAGCATTTTACCCAGTCAGAATGGCTACCATCAAGAAAACAAACAATGCCAAATGCTGGTGAAAATGTGGGGAAAGACTCCTTAATCCACTGTTGGTGGGAGTATGAATTGGCATAGCCACCATAGAAACCAGAAGTTTCTAACTGAAAAACAGAATTACCATGATCCCAGCAATACCACTCCTGGAAATCTTCAACGATTTTATATACTACTACAGAGATATTTACGCATCATGTTCATGGCTGTTCTAGTCACAATAGCTAGGAAATGAATGGATAATGAAAATGTGCTGCACACATAATTTATTCAGCTGTAATAATTAAATTACGTAAATAAAAATGAAATTATGCAAAGGCTATAAAGAAAAATGAAACCATCTGCAGAAAAATGGATGGAACTGGAAAATATACTAGGTCTAGAAAGACAAATACTTCACATTCTCTCCCATATGGAGAGGAACTAGAAAGGGCATATAAAGAGGGAAAGGAGACCTTAATGGATGGAGAGAGTGGCACGCATGTAATAAAAAAGTAGAGGAAAAAAGTGGTAGTGGTTAGGCAGGGTTTCAGATGATGGAAAAGTTTAAACAGGGCTGGGGCGATGGGGAGGAATAGGGAGGAGGGGAGTGAGCTAAGGCAAAGGCTTTAAAGAAATCTCTTTGTAAGCTGGTTTAAAATGTGCGTCCAGGGACTGGAGAGATGACTCAGGGGTTAAGGGTATTGCGGAGGACCCAGCTTCAGTCTCAGCACCCACAAGACAGCTCACAACTGTCAGTAACTTCAGCTCCAGCTGATCTGACTCCCTCCTTCTTTCTGGTCTCTGTGGGCACTGCATACATGTAGTGCACCTACACACATGCAAGCAAACCACTCACACATACAAATAAAAATAAGTGTTAAAAAGTATGTATATCAGAAAGAAGAAAACTGAGTTTGAAAGAAGTATCATGTAAGGGTGAACAACACTTTCCCCAGAAGAATAAATTATTACATGAAAATTTTCAATGTCAGGTATGGGATACTTTCCTATACACTATGGGTCAGGGAGGCCCTAGAGTCAATCTCCCTGCAACAGCCCAGGCTATTGCCATTGCTCTGGTTGTCCATCACAGCTAGAAGGTAAGACTACCTAGTGCCAAAGACACAATACACTCTGGTTACAGGATACAGAGAAATCAGCTGGAACTGACCTGGAAAATTCAGCAGTGCACCTGGCATGCTACAATAGCGATCTGCCTGCCAAGCAAAGATGTGTGTACTAGTTCAATAGTGACATAAAGGTTCAGGGGAATGACTAGATTTCCGGCCTGCTCTACAGAACAGACTTCACTATAGATTTGGTCAAGAGTCCACAGCTTGGGAGGTCAGAATCCCAAGAGGCAACTACTATAGTTTTTGTTCAGTGGATGTGAGTATCTTCTAAATATCTTCCCATTGATTAATGCTGCTCTCAACCTTGGCCAGAGAAGCTTATTTTGACAATGGCAAAGTAGTCAAAATAGAGATTCTCTCTGCTTTCTGACTATAGATACAATATGACCAGCTGTCTCAAACTCCTGACAGCATGCATTATCCATCATGACAAAAGATACCCCCTCAAACTATGGACCACAATAAATCCTACCTTTCTTAAATGGCTCATCAGTTATTGTAACAGAAACAAGGGAAATAACTAATAACAATATATGAGAAACGAACGGTGCTCACAGAAAAGGAACTAAATTGTTTCCTGAATTTATTAAGCAACTCTGTATAACTCTAATTCCAAGGGTGCTTTTCTTGGTACCCGACAAGCCAAACCTAAAATTTAGAAAGAAATACTCCCAGACAAAAACATCTTGATGATTCTATCACATTGAGGTAAAAGTGTTGTTCTGAAATATATAAAGATCTCTTACAAAGTCATAATAATTTGGAGAGTCTGGTACTACCAGGAAAAGATAAAGAGAACTCAAGTATAAAATAAAGCCCATAACAGGATGAAAATCACAAACTTTACATTTGGGGAACTGAAAGGTATCAGAAGAATCACTGGAGGAAGATACATGGGAAAAGATATGCCAATGAACTAATCAGGTGTAACCAATAAAATCAATTTAATTATGTTCTTTTAGAGCATCTTTTAGTAAATACAACCACATTTTAGACAAAGGAAAAGAAGCAATATTGGGAAAAATAAATGGAGGTAGTTTAATCTTTCTTCAGTATCAAACATCACAAATATCATTTAGCTGTTTACCTTCCATATAATAGTACAACGCTACTTTCTATTAATGTCTTAATACTGTTACCCCAGTTACCATCAACCATGACACAAGTAGTGAAGTGCTAAGCCTTACCTCAAGAACCTGGTCAACAGAGGCAACTGGATGCAACATGATGAATAGTATGAAAACATACAAAATAATCACAGATATAACAAAAAAATCTGGAAAAGAAAGTAAACAATTAAATTAGGCATTTTCCTTAAATTAAAAGGTGCCAAACACCAAGAAGCATATAATTACTTTAAGATTTGCTTTAAATACCTCTATGTAAGATGACACATAAAAAGCACAAGCTGTTATTTCCTACAGTATAAAACATTCTCCAACCCCTCAAGACATCTGAAGTCTGTTAGCTTCAATCTAAATGTATGTCAGATAATAATAGCACACGCTTTAATCCCAGCATTCCAGATACAGACAGATTTGAGTTTCACCAGGCCAGCCAGAAATATATAGATCCTTATAAAGTGATTCCCCTGCTGCAATTCTACACTTACAAATGGAAATCTAATATTCTACTGAACAAGTACAACTAAATTAATATATCCTAGTTATCCGAAAGTTGTTATGGTAGTTAAAGAAAGTGCTGGTTGGAAATACACAAATACAACCAGTAAAAATGGGGAGAAAAGTAAAGAACTAAAAGAAATAGTCACAGGCAAGTATGATAGCACAGAACTGGAAAGCAGAGGTAGGAAGACTGAGTTTGAGGTCACCCTGACCTGCAAGATATGATCTATCTCAGGAGAAGAATGAATCAAAATGGATGGATTGATGAAGTTCCTCAAGACATAACCCATATTAGATACTTTTCAAATCTTACTGCATAATTTTGTTCCTGATAAATATATTCCTTAGTTAAGAAATTTGTTATATTTGCTTAAACATGTTTTCAAAGTTGCTGTGCTAACCCCAACATCTGACTTCTAAACACCTGCCAAGATTTCTGTAAGAGGGAAAAAAGTTATCTTCCACTGGAGATAAAACAGCTATTATGGGCTGGGTGATGCTTGGCAGTGGAACACTTGCTGCTCTTCCAGAAGATACAAGTTCTGTTCCCAACACCCATGTCTGGTAGCTCACACTGTATCTAACTCCAGCTTCAAGAGAATCTAATAACCTTTACTGGCATCCATGAGCACTGCATACATGTCACACGGAGATGGAGATACCCATAAATAAAAATAAGCCAAGAACTATTCAAAAAAGGTAGATGTCATATAGCTTTTCGTTAAGTACACAATTCTTAGAAAATAATCTACAAATTCAACAAAGAATGGAAAAATCAACTATTCAAAGAGGTAGGAATGTCTAGTAGATTGCCCTCAGCTTCTGGGTCCTCTTAGAATTGTCAGCCAAGTGAGCATTTAGCAATCCTGATAAAGTACAAATGCTCTTCACTAGAGACAGGTGCCAGAGTAAGTTATGCGGGTCTGGGGCAAAGTGATTAAGCTAAGAACAGCCTGGGCTACAGACACTGTTAGATATTAAAAATACATATAAAATAAGTTAGTTTGGTGGTAATGTCTACAATTCCAAGATTTGGGAGACTGAAACAGGAACCATGACCAGTTCAAGGCCACAAAGCTTGAAACATCACCAGTTCAAGTACAAAAAGCCTAGACTGGACAGCAAGACACTGTCTCAATGTTCTCCAAAGAACATTGGAAATATAACATGTAAAATCAAGTAATCAAGTCCCAGCTGACTGTAACACAAATCTTTCTGACAGAAAAGGATTTCCTGCCTATTCCCTAAAATAATACATAAAGCAAAATACACACCTATGATTTGTTGTCCTCAATACACACTTCTCTTGCTGTTTCTCAACCCTGTTTCTTTCTCAAACATTAACTGCCACCTTCTAACTTAGCTCTCTATCTATCCCTTTTCCTTTACTCAGTTATCTGTCTCTGAAAGGTGAACTTATTTTTGTAGGGCTAAGTTATCTGAACTATTCCCACCAATTAAGGCATGACAATTAGACAGGAGAGGTCAACATTTCAGCTCAACACCTTCAAAGGCAAAGACATGAAATGGACTTTACAAACAAAAACTACAAGGACCAACTGAAACAAATGAAACAGAAGCTGAAACTACCAGACATGATGGCTCACACCTACACCACCACAATCTGGGAGGTGGAAAATCAAAAGTTCAACGTCGCCCTCAGCGACATAAGACCCCGCCTCAAACAAAGACATTCAATCTAGTGAGAAATGACAGTTAAGAGTACATTATCACGGTACTTGAAGTGGAGCACAGTCAAAAATAGTAGTGTACATATAACTGCTTGAAAATGTGTAGCTAAATGAGAGTAGGTTTTATTTTAAAATGAAAATAAACAAAAAGGAGGGAATATCATTCAGGAGAGGGTGCCTCCAATATTAGTAACAGCAACAATAAAAATCTCAAAATAAATGCAATATATTACATTGATCAGAACTTGAGAACTGAATGGTCCTAGCAAAGAACTAGCCCAAAAATTGCAATGGCAATGCACGTCAGTGACAGGAAAATAAGGGGTGAAAGAAAACTAGCAAAAGGCATATAGCCAACCATACTGGTTCCTCTATACATTCATGCATATGCTTTACAGAAAATTTTGTGATTATATCTCTGCTGAAATATTTTAGAACATTTAAAAGAAATCAGGGTCATCACCAACAATAAATAAAGTGGTTATCATGTATTCACATCAATTGGAAGCTAAATGAAAGGATAAATGTGAAGTTTTCAAAATCCTGTAACATATGTATTTGCGGAGTGGAAAGGGATTTGAGATAGGGCTTCTCTGTGTAGCACTGGTTACAACTCTCCCTGCTTGGAATGACTCAATCAATCAATCTCTTATTTCTCAACAATTTAAGTATAGATAGGGTAGAGTATATTTTCTTAGATAGTTAATTTTCCTAATGGGGAAACAACCTGAGAGCAGTTTTCTTTATAACTAAAAAGAGAAAAAAAAGGAAAACCACTATCTCTAAACACAGTGCACTGCACCAGCAATCTTAGCAAAAGTACAAAATCTGCCAAGAAAACTTGGTAAGACTCTATCTCAAGAGATAAAAGAGGGGGGTGCTAGTGAGGGAGTCAGCAGGTAAAGGTGCACAAGCCCGGTGACCTGGGTCACCCTGACATTTACGTAAAAGGTAGAAGGAGAAAACGGACTCCTGTCCTCCACATACAACATTAATCAAAAAAGAGGGGGGGATGGGCTAGGGATGAGGCTCAGTTGGAAGAATGCTTTACCCAGCATTACACCCAAGGTTTGTGTCCGAATGTTACAAAAACTGGGTATGGTAGCAAACACCTGCAATCCTAGCACTCAAGAAACGAACGCCAGAGGATCAGAAGCTCAGGGTAACCTCAGTTATGCAGTCTGAACTACACAAGACCTAACCTTAAAAGGCAAACAAACAAATAAAAGGGAGATGGGGATACAGGTCAATGATACAATACCTACCTAGCTTGTGGGGAGAGTCCCTAAAGTTTAAGCTCTTAATATCTCCATTCCCTTCCTCTAACTCCGTCCCCACAAAAGGTCCATCTTTCAGTACATTAATTTTAGTTTTGTAAGCTAAAACTATACATATACTAAAGGTCCTATTCTAAGTATCACAGATGGGTTCTAGTGGGTCTTAGTAACAGCTTTTAGTACAGTTACACAGTGACATGTATAAAAAATACATAGTAATAAAGTTCTTATCTTAGAGAAGAACTATCAGTACCAAAAGAAAAGAACAAAAAACTTACCAGTAAAAACAAATTTCAATGTTAGCTGTTCAAACATGCACAAGGTCAAACTTGGGATAGTGCACGTGGAAATGTTCAACTTTAGGATAAGAACAAGGTCTAATGATTATTACTTCTATGATGTCTAAAATGTAGACCTGGCATTTTAACGATGTCTTTTCATGGTCACAACACAAGAATACCTGCCATTTTCTCTCCTTGACAGCAAAAGCAGGTCAACTAATGTTTTCAATTATTAGAACTGTTATTAAGTGTGTGAACTGGCATATGTGAGCATATGTGGAAGACACAGGACTTCTGTGTCCAGATGAGTCTCTCTTTGTAGATTTATGTAGGCTCCTAGGGCTGAACTTTTTAGGTCAAGTTTCTCAAGTAGGGCAAGTGCCAGGCCATCACATTTAAATTTAAATAAAAAAATTTAAAATTTTTCTATTTTTAAAAGCTGGTAACTAACACATAACACCAAGTTCTGTCCATAAGGTCTAATTTATGTCATTTATTGTTGTTGCCTATGGACAGACACAGATCTCTATGCTGTTTGCCAATTCTGTGGTAGGAAGTAAAAGTGATTTAAAATTAGAACTCCAAAATCACTGACCACAACAGTATGAGTAGAGAAAAAGGCAGGTGGTTCTGTATAGAATCCCCCAAAGGAAAAGATACCCACTGTCTCCTGAGAGCCTCCTACAGATTCCTGCTTTCAATTCTAATTCTCTGTACTCATTCACAGAAAGGAAAGGGCCCAGAGTAACAGGATATGAAAACCAGTAGTCGCTTTCACTTTTAAAATTGTAGAGTGGGAATGCCCATGAAAGTGAGAACAAGATAGTAAACATGCACATATTTAGAATCTCGTCTAAGAATTTAACAGTTAAAATTCATTTATTTTATTAATTTTTAATTTTTTTTAAAACTTTACTTTTGAGACGGGGTCTAGCTTTGTAGTTAGGTAGGATTATGATGTCACACTTACAATTCTTGTAGCAAGGCTGCCTGAATGGTTTTCCTTTTGAAAAGGCAACTGCCACTGTGAGGTACTGAAAACTGGAGATAAAAAACACTGTAGTATTTTCATAATTTTGAATTTTACATGAATCGAGTTCAGTTCCGTTGTACAAATGCGATGAGTTCCAACATGCGCTTCTTGTTGTGTTACAAACACTGGAACACAAAAGGATCCTATTAGGAGCTGAGCAGCATCTCCCCCAAGAGGCCAAAACACATCTACAATACAAAGAAGTAAGATGCTACTTATAGCAAAAGATGCAACAGCAGCAACACAACACAGAGGGCAGGCAGAAAAGCTTTTCTTCTTTCCCCTTTAGCTAGATATTCCATTATGTACCATTAAAATTATAATCAAGTGGTGTCTTTCTTTAATTTTTGGAATTTTAGTACAGTGCAGAACAAGAACAGGCCAGGTCTGCCTTTTTGTGCTACCACTTTTAACTGCGGGACATATATAGCGAGTCCCACTTGGATAGTAAAAGACTGGGTGATTAAGGTTTTGTCGCCATGAGTGGATTAATTTATTCATGTAATTAACAAATAAATGGGCATATGAGAAAAGGTTTATTATAAAACCCAGTTTAAATAGTCTCTCATTGTGCAATGTCTGGTATTGCCTAGGACACCACCATCAAAAAAGATATCATATGTAATTTCTCAGTCAGGAGGTAAGATAAATCGATTTTCTTAATACAGAGTAGTTGTGGTACAGAATAACAAAAGTTGAGACACTCTTCTAAAGTTACCTTGACAAAAAGAAAAAAATTTATTAGGTGTTTAAAACAAGCTACATGAAACTCCTACACATATTTCAAGGCTCATCTTGTCATATTCATCTTACACAAATACTTATAATGAACTGACCAACTTACTCTGAATATGGATCACACACTTTATACTGCTTGACCCAGAAAAAGCCCAGTGATTGAAATCCAACACAGATGACAATCTGAGACAAGACGGAGAAGAGGAGTGCCCCAGATATAAGGCCCGAAGGGGGTCTCTGTGCCACAAGTTCTTTCCAGGCAGGATTCAAACTCACTATATTTCAAAGGAAAGAACAGAAAGTTTTTGTCTAAATTCCCCACCAAGAAAAATATAACAACATTCACTTAGAAATGAAACTTTTAAAATTCTGGTTTTGTCTATTAAGTATTTAGTAAGAAAAGTTTCTAATCACTAAGTTAGACGTAATACACATTATAATAACCTATAAAACATTTTATTCTTTTTTTGTTTTTCCTTTTTGATTTTTTTCTTGTTTTGTTTCATTTTGTTTTTCGAGACAGAGTTTCTCTGTGGCTTTAGAGCCTGTCCTGGAACTCTTGTAGAGCAGGCTGGTCTCGAACTCAGAGATCCATCTGCCTCTGCCTCCTGTGCGCTGGGATTAAAGACATGCGCTACCACCGCCTGGCTAAAACATTTTATTCTTATTTCAAAAATGCCCCCAGTAAGTTTTACATTTCTGTTGAAATTCATGGGAAATACTAGTACCAGTAAAAGTAAGAGTATCTGTAAATCAACATGTGGTAGTGCACACCTCTAATCCAGAACAGGGGAGGCAGAGGCAGGAGGATTGCACATCTGTGATACACAAGCAAAACCATGTCATATTCCTGTTATGTCATAACATAATGCAACATGAAAATGGAAAAAGAAATAGTTAAATGTTTTCCCTTTAAAGAAATTACTAGTAATGTTTGAAGTAATATGAATAGAATAGTAACATAAAGTAGAATTAGTCCAATTGACAACACGTGGGATCTACCAATTTTTCTTCTATAGTTTGTTTATATTTTGATAATAGTGTAAAAAAAATCACACTGACACTTATTAAAAATTTGCTCACCCATTAACTAGTTTTATCATCCATTAAGCATTTTAACTCAGCAATTCCTTCAGGGGTAATTTTAGCACCCCAGGAAAGATTTGGTGAGGCCTGTTATAGCAGATAGAATTTTGACACATACTAGTTATTTAGCTTAATACTAGTATCACCAATTCCATTCAGATAACTGAACAATGAGAAGCTTGGTTATGTTCTAGTTATGCATGAGAAGATACTCTGTAGGCTATGGAAAGAGAAACCAACCGAGTCACATAACCCTCGACCTATAATCTGTCCTCCACCTATAATCTGGGGACATGTGAGAGTGGTCAACCAAAGACTGGTCTAACTCGAGGCCAGTGCCACAAGAGGGAGCCCAGGTCCAACACTACTTAGGTGGCTAGAAACTGGAGACTAGATAACTGGAGACCTAGGGTAGGGCCAAACACAACTGGTCTTTGGGAAAGGAAAAAACATCAACAAAATGATTCTTAATGATATTCTGCTATACTCATAGCAGTCATCAGAGAGGCTTCCTCTGGCAGCATATGGGTGCAGGTGCAGAGCCCCACTGTCAGACATTATACAGTCTAGATTAAAGGTTCCTCCCCTTGGAGACTGAAAAACCCCATGTAAAAGGGGAAGAAAAGATGGTGGGATAGAGGACACCAGGACAATGTGGCCCACCAAATCAACTAAGTAGGGTGTACATTGGCTCACAGAGACTGAAAGGGTTAAGTACAGGGTCTGCATGCTGCACCAGATGTTCCTCATATATTATGGCTGTTAGCTAGGTGTTTTTTGTGGGACTTCTTAGAGGCGAGGGGGCTTATCTCTGACTCTTTTGCCTGCTCGAGATTCTTTTCCTCCTACTGGGTTGCCTTGTCCAGTCTCAATGAGGGCTTCATCTTGTCTTATTGTATCTTGTTTTGTCTTGTTTGGCTGTTGTCTTTAGGAAGTCTGCTCTTTTCTGAAAAGGAAATGGAGGGGGAATGGGTCTGGGGGAGATGGGAGGTTGGAAGAAGCTAGGGGCGGGAGAGGGAACTATGTTTGGGATTTATTGTATGAGAGAAGACTCTATTTTCAGTAAAAAAGAAAACCTGATCTTTAGTAAAAAGAAAGATAATGCATCAAGGTCAAGTCAATATAATGGCTGACAGAGCATCCTCTGATTTACTAATTGAGCAAGGGGAAGATAAGCAATTAGTATTTTAAGGCCCAAATGTTGTAAATAAATCCATTCTAAAGATTTTAAAAAAAGATACAAAAATAATATAAAACAAAAACAGACAAAAACAGACAGGGCAAAATATAAGCAACCAGTAATGAAACATATACAGTAATAAAACAACCAGTAATAAAAAACATACATATTAAATTATTAATATTACAAATTTTCGTATGCTTTGAAATTAAGAAAATTAGCAAAATACTTACTTGTAAATACCACTACCAAAATGATTGCCAGATCAATGAAAAGAAACTGAAAGTCTCCCAGGTTACTCAAGATCTACAAAAGCAATTGTGAAAGTTTAACAGTATTTTCATAGCCTTGTTGTCCCCCTCAAGAATGACACTTTCAAAATGATCCTTGAACCCGCTTAAAAACATTTGCTTCTGAAGTTAATTAACAATAACATCATTTGTATAATTTTGACCGAATGTTAATATATGAAGGTTTAACTTTAAAATCTGACAAAGCATTCTTGATTTTTACAACAAATTTGTACTCAACAATATTCAGCATTGCTAATCCTCAGCATTCTAAAATATCAGTATCTTGAGTTTCTTTATATTCTAAGTCTTCCCTTTGTAAATAGTAAAAAGGGGATGTTCTCACAGTGTCAGTAGGAAATCTACAGGGAGATCATGTCAATCATAATCTGATAGAGTAACCTATTGCAACTACTGTCAAGATTCTCTTTCAAAGGCATAAAGTTCTATCAAGTATTACTGAAATGTCTTTTTCTGTAAATGCACAGTGAAGTTAACTACAACTGTGATTATAACACAGATGGCATACATCTTTATTCCTAACATAACAGCAGTAGAGAACCAGGACTTCAAGGCTCTCCTCAGCCACGTAATGAATGTGAGGCTAGCCTACAAACACGAAATCCTGCCCAAAACAAGCAAATCCAATCTGTACTACAAACTAAAAAGAATAAAAATCGGCATTTCTTCCCCACAAAGCTGTAGTCATGGGTGCAGGCTTTAATGAACATGCATGCCAAATTAATGGAACTGCTACTCATTCAACTTTATTATCTCAAAGTAATTTTATATACAAATTTCATTTTTAATCAATGTACTAAAAATCAACAGACACATGCCCAATATCTTTGGTGCCTGACCATAGAGAACATCTCTGGGCAGTATTGGTACTCACAGAATACAGGAGAGTAACACTGAAGTACTGTATGATGCTGTATAATGCCATAAATTTAAACACACAGAAAGATGTCATTAAAGCAGCACGGCCCTCCCTGTGAATAGAAATGTCAACATGTGATTAATAGCACAGCAACCTTAAGCTTGACCTTCAGAGTATGATTACATCATGACTAATGAACATCAACATTCACAGCTACAATAAAGTTTGATACCAAAAAAACATGTCACAACACAAAAGCTTCAATCTATTATTAGTGAGTTACAGGTCAAATGCATATTCAAACAAGTCTGTACTGCTCTGTATGGTATTTTACCCTAGTACATTTTAAGCACAAGCTAGAACAAAATTATAAAACTTAGAGCCATGAATACTAGCTCTCAGATCTGTATTCATAGTCACTGGGGAGGCTGAATCTGGATCATACAAGTCCAAGGCCATCCAGGCTACATAGGGAATTACTGGCCAGCCTATGATACAAAGTGAAACTCAGTTTCAAAATACAGAGCAAGCGCTGGAGGTGCATGTGTGGTGGGGTGGGGTGGGAGTCAGGGCTGGAGAAGAGGCTTAGTAGTTAAGAGCACTGGCTTTTCCAGAGGATTCAGCATTCTATTTACAATTCAAAACTACCCACATGACAATTCAAAATGATCCATAACTCTAGTTCCAGGGCTCAGATGCTCTTTTCTGTTCTCCTTAGATATCAAGCATGTATGCATGCAAAAACACAAACATGTTTTATTGAGGTCTCTTATAAGAAAAAAGAATGGAGGGAGGAAGATTATTCCAATTTCCATTACCTGATGAGGTTCGGCACACAGGAAATACTAGGTGTCTTAGAAGTAAAAGGAGATGCCACAGAAGCTTCAAGCTCAGACAAGGAAATGCCACCATGTGCCCTCTTCAAAGCCTAATTGTTTCAAGAATATTGATAAATTTTGTGAATATAACGCAGGCTAAAGAACAAACTCCAAAATAAATCACAAAAACTTTACTTACACCACAATCATTTGCACCATCACCGCACATCCCAACAAAGTAACTAAGAAAAAAATAAGATTAAGCTTTTATTACACATCACATATGAAGTAATGGATTCTCCAGCAGTCGTAGAGAGCTAACAGATCAATGAGCTTTCACACTGGATGAGCACAAACGGCATTCTACTGACAGCACACTGAGCTGAGACTGCCATGAGCTGAGTAATTTGTTTCTGCTTGAACATGGACAAATAATTTTGGTGTCTTGAATTCCTTATCTGTGGAGCACAAGACTTTAGCCTAGACATTTTATTATACACTTTTTGTGTTATTAGAAAGGATTTCTCCCTTAGATACTTCAAACATTACTGGCTACTAAAATTTCAGAGTCCTGAACCAAGTGCATTTGTATGAACCTATAAACCTAGAAACGTGGGAGGCCCAAGAGTTTAAGCCTAGCTAACACAATACCCTCAAAACAAGACAAACAAATAAAAAATCAAATTATAGTCGCTTCTTTCAATATGTACCCACACACATAAAAGCAGCACTAAGTGGATTGAGTAACTTGAAAATAAGAAGAAAGAACACATGAGCTTGGGAGGAAGAAGTGTAAGGAGACTTGGGATCAGAAGGAATGGGGAATAGGCTTGTTTATAACAAACTATACATGAATTTCAATGAAAAGAGCAGTAAATTACAATCTCTGTGTGGGTATAAAATTAAGAAAGGACTGTGAATATTTTTCTTCAGCCAGATAAATATCTTATAGGAAATAATTCTCCTCTCTCACACACACACACACACACGCACTTTAAATTTTTCATCTGTTATAAGAAGTGTTTCAGATTTTTGGAAATTTACATATATTGAAATGCTTGCTTCAAATTCTATTGTGACAATCAGTTTCGGATTTTGAAGTATTTCAGATTTCTGGTGTTTGGATTAAAACTTACACATAAGAAATATTAATTACTATTCTAAATTTGAAAATGAAATTACAATTTATTTGAAAATTACAAAGAGAGGAAAAGCAAAAAAAAAAATATGAATACTTACTCTACATTTTGCAATGCTTCTACCAATTGTGTCTTCTGATCTGGTGCCATTCGAGCAAACACGGTGCCATGTAACATCAACTAGAAAACATACATTTTTTTTAAATGTTGTTCATAAATAGCACATATAAACATCCATAAATTCACAATACTTACCTTAGGAACAAGATCTTGAAAATGTTCCAGTATCACTGAAAACGACTTTCCATTCATTGCAAAATGATAGGGAGTTGATGGAAGATCCTCTAAACTATCATGGGCAAGTTTAATTGGAATAGCCTGGACATGAGACAGCAGAACAATATTCAGGCAGCCATACCAAGAAATACAGTTGTATGTTCAATATACTTATTCCAAGATTAAACTATTTCACATTCTATATTATACATGTCATTACAATCTTAGCTTTTGCCAGGG